CTCTCCAGTCCCTTGAGACAGTCTTATGTAGCTCAGGCTGGCCTCAAATTCTTACAAGGTCTACCACCACACCCAGCTTCTTTTGTATATTTTTGCTACATTTTTCCTAAGTTTGGAATTATTTCAGAAATTAAAAGTTTTCATTGGGCTGGTGAAATGGCTTAGTAAGTGAAGGCATTTGCTGTCAAGCCTGAGTTCAAGCCCCAGGAACCCCATGGTGGAAGGAGAGAACTGAACTTAATCCAGAAAGTTGCCCTCGGACCTTCACATGCATGCCACGGCACACAGGCACACAGGCACACAGGCACATGTGTGCGCGCGCACACACACACACACACGCACACACACACACACTAAGTGTACTAAAATTTATTTTAAAGAATGAAAAAAATTTAATATAGTAAACAAAACAGATACTGGATGAGAGAGGTTAGATATGACTGGGAAGGAAGAGGGGGGAGAACAGAAAAAAAGGGAGAAATGAGTCCCTTGACATTAGAGCTTTTACAAGCTGTCCAAGCACCCACTGACTCTTGCTTCTAGGACAATACCATGCAACTGAGCAAGTGCTTTTGGTGGCAGGTGTCATTGAGCCACAAGATGTAGGGGAGAGGTTAAGATGTGCATCCAGCTTTATCTCATTCATGAAAGGCCTCAGACTTTAGCTTCTGACATTCTGCCAAAAGTGACACAGTAAGTGTACTGTGTGTGCTGAAAGAGTGAATTCCTTGCATGCAAACATCTCAAGTACATTGACACTTTAGTAGCTGAGTTTGCTCTCTCTCTCTCTCTCTCTTTCTCTCTCTCTGGGTTGAAGCAGGGCCTTGTGTATGCTAGGCAGTTGCTCTACCACTGAGCTTCATTCCAACCCCACATCTTTTGGGATAGAATTCCAAGGTCACAAAATTCACCACTTTACCAGCACAAAGTTGCACCTGCCTGTAAGGCCAGTACTGGAGAAGTGGAGGCAGGGGGATGGGGAGTTCAAGGTCATCCTTGGCTACATATCGAATTCGAGGCCAGCCTTAGCTACAAGATACCCTATCTCAAAAAAAGAAAACAAAACAAAACTTTAAAATGTATGATCCAATGGTTTTTAATACAAAGTCGTGGGACCATCACCCCTGATTACAAAACAATCCCTACCCTGACGGCAGCCACTTCCTGTTCTTATGGTGCCTGGCCTCTGGGGGTGACAGATCTGCTTTCCATCTCGGTGCATCTGCCATTCTGGAAGTTTCACGTAAATAGACCGGGCAAACGGCAGAGGCTCCGCCCCCACGATGGCCAGTGTGCACGGGATTGGACACGCGGGTTGGGTGTGCGCGGGGCGTCCAATTGCTTTCGATCTTCCCAAGCAGGCAGGTGGAGGTGGAGGTGCCGGAGGCCTGGGCTACAGCGGTGCCTGGCGGGCGCGTGGGTGGTGGCGTGCGCGCCTGGCGTAGGCATGAGCTGGTGGCGGGCCTTACCACGCGCGGCCCGACGCTACCCGTGGCCCACCAACGTGCTGCTCTACGCCGGGCTCTTTTCGGCGGGCGATGCGCTGCAGCAGTGGCTGCGGGGCGGCCCCGCCGACTGGCGCCAGACGCGGCGCGTGGCTACCGTGGCTGTGACCTTCCAGGGCAATTTCAATTACCTGTGGCTGCGCCTGCTGGAGCGCTCGCTGCCGGGTCGCGCGCCTCGCACGGTCCTGGCCAAGGTGCTGTGCGACCAGACGGTGGGAGGGCCCATCGCCCTCTCCACCTTCTATGTCGGTGAGGGGCCGGGGCGTGGTCTGGAGTCCCGGGACTGGGGAACTGGAGGCCGGGGCTGGAGGCTCAGGGGGCTGGTAGTCGTGGGGCCTGAACTGAAGCAGGAGGTGGCCCCGGGATCAGGGCTGGAAGCCTTGGAGCAGCGACTGGAGGGCCGCGTATTGGGAGAAGAGGTTTCAGTGAGGAAGAATTTGGGGGCTGCTGGCTGGGGAGCCCAGGGTCCTACAAGCCAGGGATCCAGGGGTTAGGATCCAAGCTGAGAGGCTGATGTGGGTGGAGTTCATGTTGGGGGGGGGGTCCATTCATGTGCAGAAGAGGGCACATGAGAATGTCCAAGAGACCCCTGCTTAACCCCTTGCAATTGCACCCCTGGGCTCCATCTATTCCTGGGAAAATCCACACCGGCGCTGTAGGCCCAACATACAACCCAAAAGTGAGGGAACCAGTGGCTTTGGGGGTAAAGTTGGTGGAACGTGTGGTTGTAGAAAAGTCATGCCCAGGGTTCAAGACTTGCTTGGGAAACAAGATTTCCCTTTTGTGTGTTGGGTGAGGGGTAGTACGGAGAATTTGAGGGCACTGTGTACCTGTGAGGCAGTGCTCTGCACCCTGTGCCCAAAGGCTTGGCTTTGGGAATCCTTTCTGCGGGATTGGATTACTGAAATCAACAGAAGGGTCTTGTGCTCTTCCTAGCAATTTACCCTATGTCCTCAAAGGTGGTGGTAACTGCAGAGGACAGTCAATACCTTGGTCTCTTCCAGGAACTGGGCCTGACTTTGGCATTGGGATCCACAGATTATTGACAACTGAGCTCAATGCCTCAGGCCTCATACTGTATCACTAAGCTACATCCCCAGCCTTTTGTTTGTTTTAAATTTTGAGCTAGGGACTGGCTAAGTTGCCCAGGCTGGCCTTGAACTTGCTCTGTAACAGAGGTAGGTCCTGAACTTGTGATCCTTCAGTCTCAGTCCCCAAGTAGCTGGGATGACAAGTCTGCCCCACCAGGCCCAGCCTGTTAATACCCTTTAGAATAGACTGAGGGCAGGCGAACCATCTTGAAGAAACTCACCCTGCCCACTGGGGATGCATTTTAGGGAGGCTGTATTCAGATGCTTTCCCTATAGACCCCTGCAGGAAACATCAAAGGGCTGTTGGCCTGTTGCAGTCTCAGCTCATGGCCTTGTTAAGGGAGTCAGAGATGTCAGAATAGAGAGCCAGAGAGCAAGAGTCTGTCCATTCATCGCAGGCCCCTGGCTGCTGCCTTCTCACTAGCTTTGTAAACAGGTTCCTATACAGTACTACAGTTTTGCAGAGTGGTGAGGGGGTTAGGATCCAAAGCCTAAGACTTGGGGGACCGGCTTTCTGTTTAGTCTTCAAGCCACCACTTAGGCAGACACTCTTATAATCCCTGTGCTTTAGGATGAGGAAGCTGTTGAAGAAGTTTGGCAGTTTGCAGAGACATGGCATAATGTGGGCTTTTGGCCATGTTCTTTTTCTTGATGTGGTGGTGATAGTGTGGTTACTCTGAGACTAAAAAATGGCGCCATCTCAGGGGCTGGAGGACACTTAACATGCAGGCCCAAGATCCTCTGATATATACATATACCTGTTTAGATTTTTGCTATATATTGTTTTCAGTTTTCTAATTCAGTTTCCCTTGCTTCATATTACAGTGAAAGGAAACAGGTGTAGTGTAGAGCTGGATGTTTGTTTAAGGTGCTACTTGAAACTGATAATCAGGTGGTTCTTTGTGCTGGGCCTGCAATAACGGATTAAGGAATTGGACACTTGGGTAAATTCTTGCCATGCTGTATAGTCCATTCTGACCTTGAACTGGTAATCTCCTGCTTCAGCCTCCTGAATGCTAGCTAGGATTACAGTGACCACCACAACCAACTCTCTTTTTTTGGCTTTTTAACTCTTCCCACCTCAGTTAAGTGTTAGGGGGGTCAAATGCTTAGCATTTAATACTGGGTAAGCAGAACACTATAGTACCAAAATATTGTTGGGTTTTGTTTTGAGTCTTGTTCTAAGAATATTCTGTAATTGACTAATAACATTCTTATTTTCTCCTTCCTCTTCTCCCTAAAAAGGTAGTTTTGTCTTTGTTTCTTAAATTTTAAACTCCGCTTAGAATATACTGATAAGAAATTTGTAGTTGCTGGACTATCCAGGGTGTACTAGTTGTTGTTTTAAGGGAATGAAATGAGGGTGGGAGTGTGGCAGTATAGCTCAGTGCTAGAGAGTGGGCTTAGTATGTTTGATGCCCTGGGTTTAATCTCAGCACAAAAAGAAAAGGAAGGACTAAATTTGGTTCCCAGCCCTCTCCATGGTGGCTAACAACCAGTTAGCCAGTTCCAGGGGATCCAACACCTTCTGGCCTCCAGCATTGCACATACATGGTGCACTTACATAAATGCAGGCAAAACATTCATATTCATAAAATAAAAAAATGAAAGGAAAAAGAATGAGAGGAAGAAAGGAAGGGAAAAAACAAAATAAGAAGAAAGAGGAAAAAGATTACATTTTGGAAATGTTGGGGCTGGGGATGTAGCTCATTGCTTGTCTAGCATGTACTTGGGTTCCACCTCCAGCATCATATAACTGGGTGTGGTGGTTCATGCCTGCAATCCCAGCACTTGGGAGGTGGAGGCAGGAGGACCAGGAAGTCAAGGTCATCCTTGGCTACAAAGCAAGTTTGAGACCAGTTTGGGATACATGAGACCCTTTCTCACAAAACAACAAATGGGACTGGCAAGATGACTCACAAGGTAAAGGCGCTTGCCACCTAGCTGGTGACCTGAGTTCAATCCCCAGAACCCACATGGTAGAAGGAGAGAACCGATTCCTGAAAGTTGTCCTCCGACCTCCACATATGTGCAATGGCATGTGTGCACACATACAGTCAATAAGTACGTGTAAAAGAATACTAAAAAAATAGGAAGTTACCAGGAAGCTCACTGTCCAGTGCTAGTATCTGATTGCATTTTGTGACTTCTCAGTTTATATTAAAAAAAAGTTCTATAACTTCTATACCTTGTAATCCCCACTTCATATTTAGCATTCCTTTAGAATTCATTGAGATGGAGATTATATTCTTGTTTCCCTCTTGGTCAACAGGACATATTGAGGAGTGATTGTGGTTAGATGTGCTTAGATACTTTGTGTACTGAAATGGGAAAGTTGAACATAAACTGTTACATAGTAATCTTCCTACTTCTAAAATTCTTTTGGTCTGTGTTTTACAAATAGGTATGAGCATTCTCCAGGGAAAGGATGATGTATTTTTGGACCTGAAGCAGAAATTCTGGAATACGTATAAGGTAATACAGGATTTTTGAAAATGTAATCAGTGTCTTTTAAAAATATTAGTAACATTAAGAACAGTTTAGGGGCTGGTGAGATGGCTCAGAGTATAAAGGCACTTGCCACCAAGCCTGAAGACCTGAGTTCCACATGGTAGGAAGAGAGAACCAACTTCCAGAAGTTGTCTCCACATGTGCGCTGTGGCATGCACATGGGTGTGTACACACACATACACATACACACAATTGATAAATTAATGCAATTTTAAAAGTGGAACACATTAATATAACTTTTTGTTACATTGACGATTGAACCAGGGCTTCATATGTGCCAAGCAAGCATTCTACCAATGAGTCATGCACCCAGCCCCTTGTTTGTTTGCTTGAAGACAGGGTCTCATATAACCCAGGTTGGCCTTGAACTCTCGATCCTCCTGCCTCCACCTCCCAATGCTAGGATTACAGACATGTGCCATCATGCCAGCTCTCTAGCTTTTTATTACTATCATTATTACATTTATTTATTTATTTATTTATTTATTTATTTATTTATTTATTTATTTATTTATTCAGTGAGGGTGGGTAGGTATATGGAGGACAACTTGTGGAGTCTGGTTCTCTCCTTCCACCATGTGGGTCCTGAGGACTGAATTCAGGATGTCAGGATTGGAAGCAAGTGGCTTTACCCATGAACCCTCCCAGCTTTTTTTTTTTTTTTGAGGTAGGGTCTCTATAAGTTGACCATACTGACCTTGAATTCACTAAATAGCTGAGAAAGGCCCAGGCCTTGAACTTTTGATCCTCTTGCCTTAGTCTCTCAAGGAGTTGGTATTATAGGTTTGTGCCAACAACCTTGGCTTAAAACACTACTCTTAAATTAGGGATTATAGTTTGGTTGGTCCAGGAATCCAGTAGTTTGACAAAGAGATCTTAACTTTGTTTTGTTTTGAAAACTAACATCTCACTATGTTGCCCAGGTTGGTCTATAGCTTTTGGATCCAACAATCTCCTGCCTCAGCTTCCCAAGTAACTGAGACTATATGCTTTGTACCTAACTTGAATTTGTTTTGATAGACAAATGAGAGGGGGCTTTAGGAGTGACTCTGTTTCTCACAGACAGGAAATTAATAATCTCTGCATTTTTCAAGTGTTCACAATGATTTATGACTTCATTAGACTCATCTTTTAAATATTTTAAAAGTTTTATTATGTCTGTGTGTCTGTGCGAGTGTATATCATGTATAAGTGTGGAATCCAGAAGCAGGGATTGGATCCCCTGGATCCTGGAGGTAGAGGTGGTTCTGAGGGCTCCTACATGGGTGCTGAGATCCAAACTTGGGACCTCTGCAAGAGCAGTACGTGCTCTTAACCCTTGAGCCATCTCTCCAATGCCAAGACTCATTCCTTTTTTTTTTGGTCTTTTTGAGACAGGGTCTCCCTGTAGCCCCAGCTGTCCTGAAACTCACTATATGGACCAGGCTAGCCTTGAACTCACAGAGATCCGCCTGCCTCTGCCTCCCGAGTGCTGGGATTAAAGGCGTGCGCCACCACGCCTGGCTGAGTCATTCCTTTTTAAAAGGGATTTTTATTATTTTATGTGTTTGAATGTAGTAACTGCATGTATGTAAGTGCACCTGTGTTGTGCACTGCTTTTGGAGGTCAGAAGAGGGTGTCGGATCCCCTGGAACTGGAGTTACACATGGTTGTTAGCTGTCATGTGAGTGCTGGGAACTGAACCCAGGTCCTCTTCAAGAGGAGCCAGTGCTCTTAACCACTGAGTCATCTCTCCAGCCCCCTAACAGTTACTCTATTTTTTTTTAAGAGTTATTCTTATTAGCAATCACAATTTATTTCCTATTTCTGATCCTATTTGCAAAACAGGAATTGTGGGCTATAAGTAGGTTAACAAATCATTTCCACCATCAGTGCTTCCAGGTGTGTGTTGTATGGAGTCCTTGTGAAAAGAACCTTCTCGATGTCACAGACATGTTTACAGAGGAGGATCATGTTTCTGAGGATAATTCCTAGGCTTGGAGCAAGTCGTCCTGTACTCTTTATTCAGTATGAATGTGTACATTGCCATCCAACCAACAATATTCTTGTCTCAATGAAGACTTGAACTGTAGCCTTAAGGCCTGGCAAAATCAGGAATGCTTTCCCAGCTCAGACCCAGAGCTAGTTTGATTCTGTTAATAACAACCAGATGTATTTTTTCAGGATCCAGAATATACAGAATTTGCTTAGAGAGTATCCCAGCAGTTATTCCCACACTCTGTCTTTCTATCATTCACACACTTACTTCTTGGGGTATGGTGGCTTACACCTGTAACCCCAGCACTCAGGAGGCTGAGGCAGGAGGATTACAATGAATTTGAGGCCAACCTGAGCTAAAGAGCAAGACTCTGCGGCAAAAATAAAGTAATAAAAATAAAATACAAGGTTGGCAAAATGACTCTATGGGTAAAGGTGCTTTCTGTCAAGCCTGAGGACCTGAGTTCAACCTCTGAGACTCACTTGATGGAAGGAGAGAACCAACTCCTACCTGCTATCCTCTAACTTCCATGTGTGTGCCATGGCACATGTGCACTACCAGCTCTACTAAAAAATAAATGTAATTAAACATTTTTTAGGCGCTGGAGAGATGGCTCAGCAGTTAAGAGCACTGATTGCTCTTGCAGAGGACATGGGTTCGATTCCCAGAACCCACATGGAAACTAACAATCATCCTAACTCCAGTTCCAGGGATCCAATGTCCTCTTCTGGTCTCTGTGGGCATTGTACAACATGGGTGCACTTACACACATGCAGGCAATACACTCATACACATAAAATAAAATTAAAATAATAAATAAAATAATTAAAAAAATTAATAGCAAATTAAATTAACAACAACAATAACAACAGATTCCCACTTCTTTAGTTCCTGGCCTAACAAGATGCTCCAGGCCTGTCTTGTACTTTGTACCTTGTATTTGCCCCATCACAGCCTGAAATCAACCATGTCTTAGACATAACTTTTAAAAAATTTTTATTTTTAATTCTGTGTGTGACTATGTAGGGTTATGTGCACATGAGTACAGCTGTCCTTGGAGGCCTGCAAAGGCTGTTGGATCTCCTTGAGTTGGAGCTACAGGTGGTTGTGAGCTGCCCGACATGGGTGCTGGGAACTGAACTTGGTCCTCTGCAAGAACAGTACATGCTCTTAACCACTGAGCCATCTCTCCACCCCTCACATCTTGATTCCTTTGTGTGGGAAGTGTATAAGAAGAAACCAGGATCTGAGCACTGAATGATACCACATTCTGATGAGCAAAACAATGACCACAGCAGTAAAGCTGGGCCTGCGGCAAGATGACTCAACAGGTAAAAGTGCTTGCCACACAAGTCCTGGGTTTGATCCCTGGAATCTTAAGTGTAAGGAAAGAACCAGTTCCTGAAAGTTGTCCTCTGACCTCTACAACCATGCTGTGGTATGCTTGTGTCTGCACTCATACACTCATTACACATACACACACACACACACATACACACACACACAAAGTATTTTTGTTTTGCTTTGTTTTTTGAGACAGGGTCTTGCTGTGAAGCGCAGACTGGACTTGAACTTCTGATTCTCCTGCCTCAGACTTCTAGATGCTAGAATTGTACTTGTGCAGTACCCTGCCTGACCAATAGAGTTCATTCACTTCATTTTATCTTATTTTTATTCATTTGTTTTTTATATTGTATTTATTTTTATTTTATGTATATGAGTGTATTGTCTGCATATATGTAAGTGTACCCATGTTGTGTAATGCCCAGGGAGGTCAGAAGAGGGTGTCAGATTCCCTGGAACTGGAGCTATGTGCTGGGTTTTGAACCCAGGACTTCTGCAAGAACAGCCAGTGCTCCTAACCACTGAGCCATCTCTCCAGCCGCATATTCATTTATTTTTATTTCTGTGTATAAGTGTTTTGCCTACATGTATATAAGTGTGCCTGTGTCATGCAATGCTCAAGAAGGCCAGAAGAGGGCCTGGAACTGGGGTTACAGATGGTTGTTACCTTCCATGAGGGTGCTAGGAACCGAACCTGGGTCCTGTGCAAGAGCAACCAGTGCTTTTTTTAGTCACTGAACCAACTCTCCAGCTCCTGACTAATGTATTTTATAATATGCAGAAATGTGAGCTCAGGCCAGCAAGATGGCTGGATCAGTGAGTAAAAGCACTTGTTGTCAAGTGTGACAGCTTGAGTTAAATCTCTGGGACCCCCATGATGGAGGGAGAGAACCAACTCTTGCAAGTTGTCTTGTGATCTCCTCAAACACACAGTGGCATGAGTATGGACATCTACATCCAATAAATAAATTAAAAAAATTTTTTTTCATATCAGCTAAACTTGTTCTGTAGCAAGAGATAGTTTGGATATATTATTTGCACATCATTCCATAAAGAATGGTTTGGAATATTGTTTGAAGAATTCATTAATAATCTTGTATTTATAAGCATATCACTGGGTATCACATGCTGATACTGGGAAATTACAGTTATATAAATATGTGATTATTTTTTAAAGTACCAGTTTATTCCAGAATTGCTGTTTGACTTTTCATTCTGCACTTACTAATATAACAAAAGGTGTCTTGGCTTAATAGCTTTTCCCACAAGTTTCTACCTGCTGGCCAAAAGCTTTAAGTAGTCTTGATTTAATCTGCTTAGTGTTAAATACAGTCCCACCCTGGAACCCTACCTACCTGGCATTTCTTAGTCTTTTATAGAATGTACTGTGTGTTTGTTTTATGTGACTGAGCGGCATTCTAATGAGGGTTTTCTTTTTTTCCAGAGTGGTCTGATGTACTGGCCTTTTGTACAGGTGAGTTTCATGTCATATAGAATCTAGGCCTGGGCTGGACTAGGCTGTGGCTCCATGGTAGAGCGTTTGCCTAGCATGTGCCAGGCCCAGTGTTCTCCAGCATGGAAGAAAACCAACCAACCAGCCACCTCCCACAACTGATAACTGTCCAGTCCTAACTGACTCTCTCTGTGTTGCAGCTGATCAACTTCAGCCTCATCCCTGTTCACTGGAGGACAGCTTACACAGGACTCTGTGGTTTCCTCTGGGCCACCTTCCTGTGCTTTTCACAGCAGTGTGGTGACGGCACATTAAAGTCAGTGTTCATCATCCTTCGAGGAAAGGAGGCTGGGGCAGATGACAGGCCCCCAGAGAAGTGAGGGGTCCGGGATTCCCTTCCCAGGATTCAGTTTTGTTCCTCCATTGCTCTCCATCACCTGCAGTGGGGCTGCCTCACTGACCAGTTATTATAGACTCCATTGTGAAAAATTACTATTCCATTAGGCCTGCTTGTTTTTAAATGATCAATAATTATTTTAACTTTTGGTCAAACCTTTCCTTTTTGTTCTAGTCTGAAAGTCTTATTGCTCTAATGCTTTTACTTCTCTAATGCTTTGGTGAAAAATGACGACAGTAATGGGACAACATTTTAAAATTACTAATATTTCTATTCTGGTATTTTTAAGGCCAGTTGAATTCAAGAACCCCAGTTTTGATTGTTTACATTTCCAGTCTAAAATCTCAGGTTATTTCCTACATACTTTTGGATCAAATTATGTTTTATACCACTAATTGTTCATACAGTAAGTTTCTATCTCTATAGAATTCAGTCAAGAAGACAATAATCAAATCCCCCCAAATTCTCTATAATAATTTATTATGCTGACACTAAAATTCTGTAAGTGTTTGATGTCTTCTATATAGAATATTTTATTGATACCTTTTTTTTTTTTTTTTTTTGAGATAGGGTCTCACTAGGTGTAGCTCAGTCTGCCATGGACTGTGTAACCCAGGCTGGCCTTGAACTCACCATAATCCTGCCTCAGCCTCTCAAGTGCTGGGATTACAGACATAAGCCTCCATGCCTGACCTTGTGTGTGTGGGTGGTACTAGAGATGGAACCCAGGGCTTTGCACATACTAGACAAATGCTCTGCTACTGACTATATCTGCAGACCACTGATGCTGTATATATATTTTAAAATTCAGTTCTTTGAAAGAAATCTTTGTACTTTAAAGTAGACTCAAGAAACTTGAGCCAGTCTTTCACATTTATTCAGTTTGTCCAACCTCAGTGCCAGCCATCAGCACATTAAGAATGACGTGAATAATCAGGCATGGTGATATCTGCCTGTAGTCCCAACTACTTGGAAGACTGAGGGAGGAAGATCACTTGAGCCTAGGAGTTCAGTACTGGCCTGGGGAAAATAGCAAGCAAGTCCCTGTCTCAAGACCAATAAATAAATAAATAAATAAATAAATAAATAAATAAATAAATAAATAAATAAATAAAGCTTAAAAATGTGAGCATCTCAAATTTCCACAAATCTCACCTAAGAATTGCCCCACAATTCTCTTGCTTCCACTAGCATTCCTGACAAAATTCAAAACACGAAACACTGAACTCTTCATTTATCATAAGAATTTCTATTTAAGGTCAACTTAAGAATGTTTTCTGAATTTTTTTTGTGTTTTTGGTCTTTTTTGAGACAGGGTCTTACAGCTGTAGCCCCAGCTGGCCTGGAGCTTGAGATGTAGATCAGGCTGGCCTTGAACTCACAGAGATCCTTCTGCTTCTGCCTCCTGAGTGCTGGGAGTAAAGGCCTGACTGTGTCCTGAAAATTTTAAGCAAGTAATTTATATGATTTGTAATATGTTTATATGTCATAAACTTGTAATTTATTGGAATGTAGTAGATATTAATATATTTTACATTAGGACAATAGTAAGAGCATTTCTTGATGAATGGGTTCTACAACTATTTTGCTTTCTTTTAAAAATAGTTAATATATGGGCAGTCTTGATGGAGGGGATAAAGTGCTTGCTGCACCAGTGTGAGGACTGGAGTTTTGATCCCTAGAACCCATGTAAAAAGTTGGGTTGGTGACCTGCTTGTAATACCAGTACTGGGAAGGTAGGCAGGGAATCCCTGGGGCAACCTGGCTTTAGTTAGAGTAACTAAATCAAATCAGTGAGCTCAGGGTTCCGTGAGAAAAACTGAGTCAGTAAATAGAGTGGAGAGTAATCAGGGGGAAAAGCAGAACTTCATCCTCTGGCCTCCACCTGCATACCCACACACATCTGAACATGCATACACACATACGTGCATACCCCTCACACACAAAGAAAAAAGATGGAGCATAAGTGATGAGGCACTTGGCCTCTGGCTTCAACACACATGTATATAGGTGTACACACACGTACCTGCACACAAGTGTGTAAATACACATATACTGCACATACACAAAGTATTGAGGGGTTGGTGATATAGTTCAGTGGCAGAGTCCTTGCTCAGTATGACTACTGCCTTGAGGCTAATCAAAGAAGGAAGGGAAGGAGGAAAGAAAAAAGAAGGGAGGGAGGGAGAAAGGAAGGAAGGAAGAATGGAAGGACTAACAATATTCTCTGACCATTCCTCAACTTTGTAAAACATAGCAGCTTCTGTCCAGTGTCCCTGTAATTGAAAACCACGCATAATTTGTACCTTATCAGTCATTTTCATTTGTACAAAAATTAAAAATGTACTCTCTTTTATCTGTATCATATTGTGGTAAGAATTAAACAATTTGAAAGCTGGCATAAAATAGTTTAAGAACCAAGTTCGAGAGCACTTTTTGTAATATTTCCTTATTTTTTTCAATGTGTGTTCAGTAGGTTGATTTAGAGAATAATATTTGCCTACTGGAGAATCTGTGAAATTTGTTAGTTAGGGATTAATACATGCTTTGGGATAATTTAATTACTATCTGATTTGTGTTCATGTTGGTTGGGTCTGAAGAAATTGTTTAATGACTGGGATTAGAGGTACTTGGCTTGGTATAATTGCTCACTCCTATAACTAGTACTTGGGGGTGGGTATAGGCAGGATGATCAGGAGGAGTTCAAGGTCATCTTGAATTACATAAAACTCTGTCTCAAAGGCAAAACAAAACAAAAACTAATTTTAAAAAAGGAAAGGAATTGCAGATACTAAAAGTTATGGTTCAAAGAAGAAAACATTTTCACATTCTAAAACTTCATACACAATTGTGATTTTAGTTTTTAATGATTTGGGGAAAATTTGTTCTTTCATTTCCTTTACATTAAAGCCTAGAGGTAAAAAATTCTGGGTTATATCTAACTAGGACCTTCACAGCAACTACATTCACTAGACTGGACTGAATCATATGTATCTCTTTAGCTGAGCATGGTTGTGCTTTAGGGAGGCTGAAGCAGGTGAATCTCTGTGAGATCCAGGCCAGCTTGGTCTACATAAGGAGTTCCAGGCCATCTGTGGATATAGGAGAACATGTCTCAGAACAAATAAAGTATCTCTTTAATAGAAATGGATGGCCCAGAGTCACAGTTTCTAGCCTGATTTACATAACAAGTTCCAGGCCAGCTGTGGATTCAGGGAGACCCTGCCTCAGAACAAAGAAAGTATCTCTTTAATAGAAATAGCTAGCCCAGAGTCAGAGTTTCTGAGTTCTACATCATTGATTACTGTTTTCCCTCTAAAGCCTATCACCCTTCAGGATTCATTTGCAGCTATCAAAATTTTTTTTTCTACACGGGTAATTTGCTTTTAAGCTCAGTGGGATTTTATGTACATTTCTACAGTGTTTGCCAAAATAAATGTCTAGAACATACTTAATATATTCTGGAGGCAGCTTTCATTTGAAATTAGTTTCATCTTATGAGAGTATTAAAAAATTAATGCATTTCTGTGCCTGAAGTCTTTGGAGCCAAGCTCTCATAGAGCCTAGACTGCCCTAGAACTCTGTGAGGTGGACATTGGCCTTGAATTCCTGATCCTGCTTTCCCAAGCATCGGGGTTCACTCATACATCTTAGATTCTGAAAGGATTGAATTGTTGAAAAAATGACTAAAACTATTGAAAATTTTTCTTTTAATACTATCAGCAGTCCATCAACAAAACAGGAAATCTGAAATGTAATGATAGTGTGCATGGAATTTAAAACATAAAGATCTGGGAACAGCAGGCAGCCAAGTGTGTGGAAGAGAGTAGAGAGTAATAACTGAGCCACCTTTGTGGCATAGATCCAGTTCAAGCCTGTTTCTGTATCATTCTGTTCTTTGTAGTCTGCTTTCCTTCATTGAATCTTTGTCCATCCACTCTCCCTCCACAATGCTTGGTACTCTTTATCTCTCTAGCTTACTAGACTGTGGGTTTTTTTTTTTTTTTTTGGTATTTTTGAGACAGGGTCTCCCTGTAGCCCCAGCTGGCCTGGAACTCACTATGTAGACCAGGCTGGGCTTGATCTCACAGAGACTCGCCTGCCTTTGCCTCCTGAGTGCTGGGACTAAAGGTATGTACCACTGTGCCCAATTTGATTGTAAACTTCCTGAATGAAGAATATGCTTTTCACATGTGGACCTGAAGTGTCAGCTACTTTTTGCCTTTGGTTGGTTCTCATCCAGGGCTGATCTCCCTTTCACTTCTGCCTCTGCCTGAAGACAGCTATCTTGTCTTTTTTTCCTCTCTTGATTTATTTTAAATTATCTATCTATCTATCTATCTATCATCTATCTATCTATCTATCTATCTATCTATCTACCTATCTATCATCTATCTATCAATCATCTGTCAACCATCTATCAATCTATCAATCAATCTATCTATCATCTATCTATCATCTATCAACCATCTATCAATCTATCATCTATCTATCATCTATCTATTATCTATCTATCTATCCATCTATCTATCTATATGTAGGGGTGAGTGGGTGGCTGGATGGGTGGGTGGGTATGTGCAGTTGCCTGTGGTTTAGAAGAGGGCATTGGATCACCTGGAATTAGAACTACGGGTTGTTGTGAGCTACCTGACATGGGTGCTGGGAACCCTTTCCAAGAACAGTATGTGCTCTTAATTGTTGAGACAACTTTCTAGATTTCATATTATTCATGATTTTTTTTGGTCTGGTTTTTTGTTTGTTTGTTTGTTTTTTTGAGACAGGGTCTCTCTGTAGCCTCAGTTGTCCTGGAACTCACTATGTAGACCAGGCTGGCCTCGAAATCACAAAGATCTGCCTGCCTCTGCCTCCCAAGTGCTGGGATTAAAGGCATGCGGCACCATGCCTGGCTTATTCATGATTTTAATGTATATTTTTTATTGAAATTTTGTGCATTCCATGCAATAGCTCTTAATCATATTTAGACCCCTTCTCTATTTGTGTCCCCCCATAACCCACCCACAGGATTTCATACATTTTGTCATATATGTTAAGGTCTGTTGAGTCAAGTTTGTGTACCCAGATGTCCCTCAATGTGAGTTCATCCACTGGAGCCAGGTCAGCCTATCTAGTGTCACTCCCTCAAAGAAGATCAGCTGTCCCTCACCCAGCTGCCGATAGTTCCTCAGCTAAGTTTGGGGGCCTCCTGTCCATTTCTCTAAGCTCTATGTTGTAGAAAGTTCATACGAGCAAGTTCCCAGGACCCTGTAAGACTGTTTCCTTATGGTCATGCACCACCCCGGCTCTTACAATCTTTCCACCCTCTCCTTCACAATGGTCTCCGAACCCTTGGTGGGTGAGGTTTAATATGAGTCCTATTCAGGAACACATACTCTGCAGTCTCTTATTCGCTACATTTTGGCCAAATGTGACCTTTTGTGTGTACCACACTCTGTTGCATAAGGAAACTTCACTGATGAGAGTTGAGAAATGCATTAGTGTTCTCTCTACTCCCTGTTCCACTATGTTCTATGAATCGGGTTCTTTCAAGCAGCCTCAGAGGGACAGGTCCTAGTTTGTTTGTTTGTTTGGTTTTTAGACATTTATTTATTTGTGGAAGAAGGGGATGCTGTGGAGGTCAGAGGACAACTTGTGAGAGTCAATTCTCTCTTCCACCATGTGGATCCCAGGGATTGCACTCAGGTTGTCAGGCTTGGTGGCAAATGCCTTTATCTGCTGAGCTACCTTGCTAGTCCTGTCCTGTTGTAAGCTCTGCCCAGCCCTCACTTCAGCAGCTCCAGGCCCTATTTCCTGGGAATTCTGTTGTTTTCCAAGGTGGCTTTTGTTCTCCGGCTTCTCTTGCACACATTCCTCAGAAGTGCTTTTTCTCCTGCCTCTCCCTGGTTCTGTAACCAGCATGTTGGTCTCTAAGGGTCAGGTGGAATCACAGTATCCAGGCCTTTTCCAGATCACTGAACAACCCTTGTTCACATATGTCCAGATGCTATAGTTTGTAATGAATGCAAAGTGAGTATGAGAGGCTCACCAGCTTACAGATGTACAGAATTTCTTTTGGGGAGCTGGTGGGATGGCTTGTCGTGTAAAGGAGCTTGCTGAACAAGCCTGGTGATTGGAATTCAATTCCCAGAACCTATGTAAAGTTGGAAGGAAAAATATGAACTCCCAAAAGTTGTCCCTTGACTTACACATGTGGGTCATGACATACACATCCACACATATGTGCATACACACATCAGGCATACACACACACAATAACAATAAATTAAAATTAAAATCCTCATGGTGAGCAGGTGTGGTGGTGCACGCCTTTAGTCCTAGCACTCGGCAGAGCCAGGCAGATCTCTGTGAGTTTGAGGCCAGCCTGGTCTACATAGCGAGTTCCAGGTCAGCTGGGGCTACAGGGAGACACTGTCTCCAAAGGACCAAAAACAAACAAACAAACAAATAAAATCCTAGTAGCTAGCAAGGTGGCTTAGCAGGTAAAGGTGCTTGCTGCCAAGCCGGACGTCCTGAGGTTTGATCCACATGATGAAGGGAGAGTACCAATTCCCCAAAGTTGAAAGTTGTCCTTTACCTTTACAGTAGCTCCATGGCATGCATGTACACACAACACACACACACACACACACACACATACACACACACACACACACACATAAAACTTTTGGGAACTCCTGAAGTCATAATGTATGGGTGGTCACTTGCTCTTCTTCAGCGTCTTCTTCACAGAAGAAAATCTGTATGTCCAGAAATATAAATTCAGTCAGACAGTCAGATAATTGCCCCCAAATGGAATAGGCTACTTTCCCTTTTTAGCAGTGAAAGGATGGAATGGGTATGCCATGGATTCTGTAACTGCTGGGGGCTGAGCCTTGGTCCCTGTTAACTGGCAGGGCCTCTTGGAGTGGGGACTTATCCGAGGTGCTTGGTCGTTCTTTGCCAAGGACTCAGTGAATGGTTTTCTCTACCACGTTCAAACACTTGGTCAAGTACCTGCCATGTCTGAATATTGCCAGGTTAGTATTCATGGTAGAAACGTGTTCACTTTCTAATACTTGTATTGCTATCTTATTCCTTGAAGCCAGGGGCCAGGAAACGCTTTCCATATCTTGGAAGGAAATTGATTTTTAAGTTTAAACTTTCTGTGAAGAATATGTACCTTAAAAAATTGATATGGTATGTCTTAGTATGTATAAACAATAGATGGATCTGAATGAAGTGTGAGAAGTGACTGGCTGCTTTGTGCTGTTTTATTCTGAGAAAAGGTAAGGGTACCTAAGGGACTTTATTATAAATACAAGATTTATGCCTTTATTTTGAATTGAGATACAAGTTGTCTTTATATGTGTGTTTTCACTGCTTATTGAATTCTTCCAAATGGTGGCTCTTGTTCTGTGTATCAT